CGACGCAACAAACTTGACGTTTTATTTAGGCAGCAAAATGGCTGCACAAAAGATCTGGATCATTTTCTTACCACGAATTGCGTTTCAAGTATCAAGAATAATAAAAACCATATACTATTAAACTTCTGACAAAATAATCCAATGTCATGTCTGGTATCGAACTCATAATTGAAGAATGAATTTTTAAAAGATGTTTGCAAGTCGGCGTTAACTTATAATTTTAATGCAATTCACTTAGAAAATATTACACTGCACAATAGTAAATTAGTACCTAGAATTTCTAAGGATAATAGCGAGTTCTGCTGCGATGTGACAGAAAGTAAGACGATTCGGCCGGCTGTCCCTCTGAAACATTCAGAAACGTCGATGGTAGACGTTCGCACGCGTCTTCGAACAGTTCGGGATCAGTTCGGAATTCAGTTTCAGACCGAAGGACTTAAAAGAACTTCGACCGATGAACTTCGGACACGTTCGAAAGTTTGACACTTGAACGGTGTTTGGCGAACTAGGCTCTAACGAACATCATCCGCCTCTCCTCATAATGAAGTCCCGTCGTTAACGCGAAAACGTTTACATTCGCCAATGGCGAGAACAATCAAGAAGCGGCGCCGGCCGCGACATTAACGCGGCGAACACCGCCGCGCCGCGAACTTTCGTCAAGAAACCTTCCCCGATATTACAAAAGTTTCAATTTCCTAATCGGCCGGCGAGTGGATCGCGTTTTAATAAACGCGACTCGTAACGAGATATTTTATTCCGTTGAACTCGCGCGTATCAAAACTTCTTGTTACATCGGCCAGACAATCATCACGTTTACAGCGTCTGTGGGATATGTAAGAAGTTTCCCATCATCTTTGTTGGATTCTCTTCAGGAGTGGAAACGGAATACGAAGTTCCGTAAACATGAAATGAACCTCGAACTGTAGCAGAATTCTACTTTCTTACCGCCGAGAGTCGGAATAATACTCCTCCGCTGCGAAACTTATAAATGAAAACCAGGATAAGCTGAACAGTTTTATGAAAATTTAACCGTAACGATAGCAGCTGATGTACTCGAATGTAATTAAAAAGTTTAATTCCGCTGTCGATAATAAGCAAGCGATCTTGCTAAACACGAAAAGATACGGCACTGGGTAAGAGACTGTTCGAAACATAATCGATTCTTAACAGCCAGATGAGCACAGACAACAGTAAGCATGGCTATAATGAAGATGCGCTTCTTTGACGGAAACTTCAATAGTGGAACGCCTTCGAACGAAGTACACTTGCACAGTAGTTCACTGAGAAGCTTCTCCATTCTCAACAAGTATTCTATGAAACGTTTGTTTGAGATGAAAGTAATTAGCATTTCAATTAACCTTCCGACTGCGGTGACCGGGTCATTCTGATCGTGTATTTAAATCGGCATTTAATTCTACAATTTTCGACCATTAAATTCAACAAATTTCTGTTACACAGAATTGGGCACAAACAATAAAATCCGATTAGTGATTATCGATTATAACTCACTAGTTACTATACATTATTATACGTTAGTTACAGCAACTAACGAATTGTTATTGATAATAATTAATCACGTTTTGCTGAAATCTACTGTTACACTAGGAAGGATGGAGAGACTAATATGTCATCATGAAGTAAAAATATGTCTTGAAAAATTGATCCGTAAGACTGTGAATGTTCACGAACATCGTCGATTGTACAGTTGTGCAAATGGTCGGCTGTCCGAGGGTAAAACAACATTGAAACCAGATTTTATCGTATGCTTCAAAAGCAACGTTTTCTAAAAGTTTCTCTGTACAAAGAAGTCTTGGATATACAATATCTCAGTTCCGGAATGTTGCGTGAACGATCCACGTGCATAAATAATTGCGCATTTCGCGGCTTATTTGAAACGACGCCGGTGCTATCGAACGAGCTGTTTCGAAAAACGATCGCACGTTGCGCAGCGCCGCGAAAATTATTAACGTCCCGATCAGCCGATCAACGGTAGTTCCGGTCCAAAATATCGGAGAAGGCGATCCGGCTCATTGCGCGTGCATTATTCGTGGCGCGCAACCGAACCTCTGCGGACGCAACGAAAAATGAGATCGGACCGCAAGAATACTTTTCCTCTGATCCGGCCCGAATTTGATGGGGCGCTGCGGCGTCGTTATTTAATTCGAGCTTGTCGGCGAAACAATTTAATTCTTGTCAGCCGATAATCCGGCGAAAACAGGGGCGCGAACGTAATTTCATTTAACTCCGTGACACCATCATTTCCCTAGAAATAATCCCCGAGCAAACGCGGCGCGACTGGCGAAATATTTCAATACACGTTGGATCTCTGACAGCGCGTCAATGTTATTACCGAGAGAGAGTTCTCGGCGCGGACAGGCCCGCGGGCGGTGAAAAAGGCTGAATCAATTAGAAAGCCAATTTACCTGATAGTCCATGTAATTCCCGTAGCCCATGTGGTTGCAGGTGCAGGCACATGCCTGAATGTGCCTCCGCATGTCTAGCTCGACCTCCTCGCCGCAGACACCTCTGCTGGTAGCCATCATGGTATCCCCCATGCAATAACCGCTGGTACAATACATCCTCGGATCACTCTGGTCAAGGTAGCCTCCGCCAGTGTCGTCGTACCCGAGCCCACTGGCACACCTGGAATCCGAGGTATATCCCACACGAGATTGGGGACGCTCCTCGTATCCCAGCCTGGACTGGGGCCGATGAAAAGTCGGAGGTACATCCTGCAGCAAAAATTCGTCACGTTCCGTCAGCAGCCTGAATCTTCTGTTAATAAGTGTGACAATCGTTAGTGTCTACAAAACGTTCGTATAATAACTAATTTCACATAAGATATCGCAGATCTTAGTTCAGCAACGAAATTTATGAAATCAATCCTCGTGTGGCGTACTTCGCCAATTTTCTCTTGAAAATGTTGTCGATTATTTCAACTTTCGGAATGGGAAACTTTCGGAAACATTGGAATATTTCGGCAGTGATTTTTAGCGAATCTGAACATTGTTAGTGTCTAGAGTGTAAAATGTATTCGTGCCATAACTAATTCCTATGGAAGGGTGATTTTGGATAAATTTGATTTGCTGGAGGGTGAAGTGCGAGTAACTTTAGAGCGCAAAAGGGAGACGAACATAATTATCAGAAAGTATGAATTCGGAGTGCGAAACCTGTATTTGTCATCGCCATAATGGAGAATTTCATGTGTTCGTAATCAACAAAAATCTCCAAAGATTTACAAGAATCGCTAGATCGTTTAAAATATAGCAAAATTTCAATAGTAATTCGTTCTGTAAATTTAAGAACTGACGTCCTAATTCCAAAACCAACCAAGAGTTGGTTGAAAAGTACATTTTATGACAATTGTTAGCACTGAATTTGTTTCACTATTTTATTAGTTTTTGTTAAAAGAACGTAGTTGTTCATTGTTCTTTGAACACTCTTGAGAGCATAATTACCGGACGAAATAAAGAAGTTCCACGACGATTATAAAAATCAGAAATTAAATGAAGGTAAATTGTTTCCTGTAGTAATCTTGTTATGTTAAGAATAGCGTAACAATGTCATTAAATTCTCTTTATGTCTTTACAATTTTATGTTCCGGCGACTGACTTTTGCCATAAGCGCATAAAATTCGCGGTCGAATAATAACACACCATTACGCTTTGTAATTTTCGCATTACATTTTATACTTATTTCGCATGCTTTCTTAGCAGAGCAGAGATATTTTATTGTATTATTGTTTCAAGAATCTGTGAACCGTGAAGAAACTACCGAGATCCATTACGTTGAAACGCCGTTTTTGTTTCTAGAACTTGCGATTGTGAGCGGTGTACTCTGCAGACGCGTCGTCTTTACAGAGCTCACCCTGCGCGCATAAAATATTCCCTCTAGACCGAAGACACGGTTTTCAATCCCTTCGTTTTAAAAAGGTTACAGCAGCTCCGCAATTAGCCATTAATAAATTAAAAATACCCTGTAATCCTCTACAACGTTGAGATATTACTTGAACAACTTTGATATATTATTAGGCTGGTTTCAAAACCTTTTAACATATTTTAAGGAACTTATTGAATCATACGTTATTCATTTATATATTTCTGACCTAGTTCGACGATTTTCCGATATTTTCCGATATAGTGAAGACTATTTTGCTAATTCGTTTAAATATGGCACAATAAGATAACAACGGTTATTAATATTACACGTTTCGAAGAGAAGTCCACAGTATGTCTGTAAAACATACTAATGAATGTAAAAGATGTAGGAAAAAGATATATTCAAATTTTAAACTCCTGATTACCATTAATATTAAAAGTAATTTGAATGTCATGCATAGTATTACAAAAGCTTGTGCTTTCAAACGACTTTACAATGTACTGTTTTATAATTTCCTACACTTTCGTTGAACACTTAAGTTGTTTTATCAACGAAACTGGAACAATTTCATTTCGTCTGACCTAATTTCGAGATTTTCTACGTAACAATATTTTCCATTAGTCGGTGAACTGGTTTTGCATTGAATCCGCAACCGATAGTTTAGCGACGTCAAAATTATTTCGAGTCGGAAGGAAATTAGGAATAAATTCGAAAAAAAAGATAATATAGGAAGAACATGGAGAATTTGAAAAAAAGAAGGACACAAGCACGCGTGGTATCGATCGGTTTCTCTGAATTCAAGCATATTGTCTTTTTGTCGCGTCTCGAAAAACTAAAGAAACAGCGAAAATGTGAATGTTTTAATGATAACCATAAATAATCAGAGTTAGGAAAAAAGTAATCTATTTAATGAATAAGAATTACGACTAACGCGGCTCATGATTATTGATTACGATTACTGAACAAAGAGGTAACCAGAAGTAATGAATAACTTTAGTAATCAAAACACACGTAATTTCGAGATTTTCTACGTAACAATATTTTCCATTAGTCGGTAAACTGGTTTTGCATTGAGTCCGCAACCGATAGTTTAGCGACGTCAAAATTATTTCGAGTCGGAAGGAAATTAGGAATAAATTCGAAGAAAAAGATAAAATGGGAAGAACATGGAGAATTTGAAAGAAAGAAGGACACAAGCACGCGTGGTATCGATCACAGGGAAACAAGTTCGGGAGTATTAAACTGCGCAATACCTCCGCTGGCAATGATCGTAATCCTTTGCTGAAAAGTGGAACATCCGAAGACTTTTTTCCGATCGAGCTTGGGAAATTAGAAAAGCGGAGCACACTTTTAGCGGAAGATGTTGCGCAAAAATTGGAAAACTTTGATAACCTCCGAGAGAGACAAGTGGAACCGTAACTGCAGTATATTTAAAAAACCAGTGAACCGTCGCCGCTCGAACAACTAACGCTTCCCATTAGGCCGATGGATGATAGCTTCCGCGTACGATACACGCGATTGTTCCCTCAGCCGGTGACTGGGAGCGAAATACGATGCAGACGCAGTCACACTGAACGACACTTGCACATGTACGCGTCATGGAAATGCCGTGTAATTCATCGTTCGGATGTGAACCACAAAAAATACTCGCCAGGCAACGGAAAAGCTCGAACAAAAAAAAAAAGAGCGAAGCAAAACAAAACATACTAACACTCCAGCCACCCCCCCTCACCCCCTACTATCCGAAGATCGCCATTACCATAAAGCTCGTCTGTCATGGACTCCATGCTTTATTGTACGCAGCTGAGCGTACTGCAATCTGAAAATTGAGTGAAATATTACGCAACTCGTATTTCTACGCAAGACTGATCAAAGAATACGTCATTCGCCCCCCCATTCTCGTAAATCACGCTTCGTCATAAACTTTCGGAACGTGGATCGCACCGATTCACTCTCTGATTTATTGACCTTTTTCCTCAGCTGTATGCGGCTCGTCCCGAAAGATCTGCTGATGGTTTTTATTTAAAAACGAACGTTATCCATTCCGGGAAAGTGTTCTCCACGGTTTACGAGGCAACGCTCCACTTTCAACGCTTCGTGGATTTATTCTCCCGGTGGGAAAGTTCGTGTTTGTTGCGTGATTTAGGGGAGCGATGGGGTGATAGGGACACATATCGGAGGGGCATGTAATTATCTGGAAAATAAAATATTAAGTGCGGAAATTAATTCGTGCCGCTTCCTTTGCGAATAGAATTTTCGTTTAGGAGCAATGGCGACGTAAATGGCGAGGCAAAGTTAACTGCTCTAGTGGGAGAAGCTGTCATCTTTTTAGTTTTGATATTAACTCTCATTATTTCTCGTTTTTTCATCGGTGTAAAATTGCTTGTTGGACTCTGGATTTTTATGCTGAATAAAAATTGTCTGCCTTTAACGTTAATCACGATCGTTTGAATTATTCCCATCAATTATTTCATAACGAGCGTGCTATCGTGTTTCGTCCGTTTCGTTGCATGCACTATTTACATCTTTTTACACTTTTATGACAAAAATGTTCTCAGATGAAATTGAATTTAGATTATCGGCAAGAATAAATTAAATAATTCCTGAGGTGAGCTATATTTTTGGCAGACAGTGTAGATGGACATTCTGTTGCATTCGGATAATTGAGCTTCTCAACCCGTTAACGCACAATAATTTCACGCTCGTGCATAAAGGGTGCAACACAGCTGCGAATTTAACGGCGATTTAAAACGCTTTAAAATCGTTTCTAGCGTCGGTAACGTGTGCAGTGACGTGCGTTAAGGGGTTAAAGCGACCAATTGGAATGCTTTCCAATCACACATCGCTACGTTCAATCAGAACTGCCGTCACCCTGCAATCTCCGTGACTTTTCGGAATCTTCCCGCACGAAAATTACCCAATGTTCTGGTCGCAAACTCAAACATTCCCGGATAAGACGTCTTACGGATAATGCCGAGCGTATTCCGTTGACCCACATCGTTCGAATTCTAATCAGGCCTCATTCCGTATGAGTAATCTGCTACCCTATAATTCTTCGCGTTGGAAAGCTTCCGAACAGCGATATATCGATTTTAATTCGAGGGTGGCTCCGTTTCGCGGCTGATGGAATAATATACTCGGGGGGGAGAAAACATTCGAGCGAACTCCATGAAAATTTTATAATGTTCCGGGCGCGGTGCACCGTTACGCCGAGTTCACACGGCACTCATTTATACGCCGGTCTCACCTGCCCTATTAAATTTGAAACGGCTGCCAACGATTGTTTTTGATACGTCGAGTGCGGCCGGGGTGTTTGCCGGCGATCGACGCGGATCTCCCTTGAATTTCCCCGAAGCATTTCGTTACCGCCGAGGAGAGGATTTCAACTGCTTGGCTTCGCAACCGCCAAACATTACACAACCGTAACTGTTTGCGTTCTTTGTGTGCTCGCCCGTTGCTTTTCGCCCGTGCAACAACAGCGGCGCGAGGCTCCGCATCATTCAAATTGACGCACCGCCGCATGGTCGTGTAAACGAAAACATTATTTCGATGCTTAATGTCGTTAAGCATGTAACAAATACAATTGCGTGTAATACTCTTCCAACGCGGGGTGACACAGTGCGACCCGGTTAAGGTTTAATTCGGTTCCGCAGTTCATTCTGTAGCACGAAGTTGCGTTCACGTCGTCCTCGGCGAAGTTAATATTTACTGCTGTTTTTTTGCTTTCGTTTATTAATCTATTCGCCGATGAAACTGGAGCTCGAACTTCGGATGCAACGTTTACGAACGCAAACAACGTGCGCTCTCGCTCCTAGATGGCATTTCGGTTAAACGGAAAACGGGACTAATTTTT